CTAAATGCTTCCCCATTATTCATGCACAACTCCTCTTTCCTTACTTCTGCCTTATAAGCATAAGGTCAAAAGAAAAAAGCACTCAGATTATTGAATGAATACCGATTTATACTGAACACAGCAAAACAGAAGGCAATCTTCAAATGACATGTATTGTAAACAATAAAAAGGTCATATATGACAGAATTTCCCAGTCTTTCTTCTGAAATCATGAAAACCAGCAGCCTATCTTGAATAAATGGGTTCCTAAAAATCTGAATCAAGACTGCAACTAACTTAATGGTTCTGTCAAGCAAGAAGACAAATTCCCGGCCTCCAATGCACCTTCCGTACAGTGTATATTCAAATATAATTAACTCTAACAGAATTTGGGTTTTTGTTTGTTTGTTTGCTTTTTAAACAAACAATTGTATCCCAGTCTATGACCTTGGAAGTCCTTTGGGAAACAATTATATCATACCAGCAAATAATACTCAGAGCACTTCGGGTGCATTCACAAGACTCATCAGTATCTTTAAATGAAAACTGTAAATGAAGCTCTTCAATGAACAGCGTTCTTCATCCAAGGTGTTAAAGTTGAAATCTAATACCCCTCTCTTTTCTCTGAAGTAAGGCTGCAAAATTAAATTATTTATTGGCTGAAAATTGACAATGAAGCTGTGGAAACAGAAAGCATCTTATATATTAAAAAGTACAAGAATCTACAAGGAAAAATATATGATAACATTAAAAAAAGTAGAATTTTGGATGTCCAACTTTTCATATGGGACCTAAAGAAGCACAGCATTTCCAGGAAGTCTGAGGCATGAGACATTAACCACTTTGCAAAACATGGTACTTGCAGCACTGGTTTCAATCTTCTGAAAATATTTAACTGCTAGCGGTACAACAACAAATGGTTTTCTCCTGTTTTACATCACCATATTTTTCAATTTGATAGCTAATTCTTTTTAATAATGTCGTACTATACTATACCCTCCACATACTGAAACATCTGACTTTGGTTACATACATATTCTTTGCTTTACAAAGCAGTGTGTGCTTGTAATATGACCATACTTCACCTTGGTAGAGAAAGATTACTAATGTTCCTACAGTTCTCATAAAGCAGGTTTTCAGGCCTTTTTTCCTCCAGCTTAGCAATTACATGTCACTCTTCTACTTGAGGCTACCCTCCTGTCTTCAGTAATATTCTTTTTTTCCAGATGGTCAAATTTCTAATGATGCTATGCCACTACTGGCCTTGCCAGTTAAGCTCACACCTATTAGCTAGAATTGGAGCTAACTTGTTACAGCATAATGAGTGTTTAACTGTGATGGTGCATTTCGCCCCTTCCCCCGGGCCATTCTACGATCTCAGGAACTCCTGTTAGGCCTTAGCCATTGTGCAACGAGTTGGGCGGTTGAGCATCCCTTGACCGTACCAGGCACTCTTGCATGGCTAAGGTGGGGAGCGACACTGATCGTACCAGGAACACTGGCTACCTGATCAAGGTAGGGAACAAGAGCAGGGGATAATTCATCATCTTCTGACAGCCCTGAAGTATTCCCTACCTGGAAGATAGCTCAAGTGGAATGGTACCATGGTTACCGTGGAACAATACCATAATTACTACACTGGACCACCTCAGATAGTGGCCAAGATGGAAATTTACTGATGATTAAAGCCAATCATCTTGCAAACCTATAAACAGCGGTCCCAGGCAAGACCCTTTGAGCGCTCCTGGACCACAGCGGGCTGTGCCCAGAGTCTCCCTCTGAGTTGGACACCTCTGAGAGTTCACAAACTCTCGAGTTTGTGATATTCGGAGGACCGTTGGGACCTGGGCTGAAACACTCCTTGGCTGAGACACTCCTCGGCGCTCAACCCTTCATCCGTTGAGAAACGCTAAGACATTTAATGTGAGTATTTCACAGATTCAAGGGGAATTTTTAACCAGTATCTTTATCTAGTTATAGGCCTTTGTCTTTCATGAATTTATCGAGGTATGGGACCTTGTGTGTGAATAGATCAATATTTTGTGTGTGTGTATTGATTTAGATAACTAACAATAAGCATAATCTGTAATTTAGTAATTGTAGTAAACTTGATTAACTCGCTTTGTAACTGTTAAATTAGTCAATGATTAAGTGCTGTTAAAATCTTATGATCTACTTTAAAACTGTGAATGAACTTTAGGTTGCTGCTAAACATATATAACCCCTTAGGCATAAACCGTTGACCAGGTCTGAGACTAGGGGTAGATCCAGCCGCACCCAGACTCCTCTCTGAGAAGGAGTTTAGAAAGCAAGGGGGTCTACTCTGAACCTCATGACTCAACGGGAGGGTCTTCCTTACCTTGTTTGTTCTTGGTCTTTCTATAAATCATTCCAACATAATTCTGACACAATTTTCCCTGTGCGGAGTGCGTACTTAATCCATGTAACGAGTAATAGAGTGAACCTTGCCATCGAATTCTGTTAAGTCGTGCTTTTACAAATTTCTATTAAAATCACCCTTTGCTGATACCTTTGCCAGTGATTCTTTAAGCAGCCTCAAAACCACTCATTCACAACAAGTTGACACAGTGGGCAGGATCCTAAATCAGTATTTCGTGATATTAACCCTTAGAGGGGAGTGGGGGTGGAGATAAGGGAGGGAAGGCAGGCCAAATTGTCAAACTAGGCAACAAGTCACCAGTTAAACAGACAAGAAATAATATAAATATATGAAAGTATTTTACAAAATAACAATGGTTTTAAGTGTCCAGCACAGCAAAAGGCAAGAATGAAATGAAGACATAAGGATTCATAACAATGTTTACATGGCTATTTTCCCACTGAGATCAAAAGTCAGTCTCCCAAACATCTAAAGATCTAACTGTTTGTGACTGTGGTGCTTACTGCACAAGTTCTAATAAGGACTTGACTCACTGGTAACCTTTAAAAGAAACGGAAAAGACAACTTGGGAAAGGCATTTCATCCATTAATAACTGATCTTGACAAAATGAACTTTAAAACAGCAAACATTAATATGAGATAACAATTTAGCATCTTTAAAATGCTTACTGTGCTAGAAGCCTATTTTATTTTTTTCTAGGGAATATTCCACATCCGCAATGCAATTATGGTAAATATGAACCATCTCTCCAACACCAATCTCAATGTTAAGATGTATTGTAATTACGACTAAAAAGTTTAAAGAAAACTTCATTAAAGCTTAAGTTCACACTAAGCCAACCATTTCCCAACTGGTGCATTACTCATTCCATATCAGCTACTTGCCAAGTATGTTATGCTCTTCAAATTTATGAAGTTGTTCATTTGAAGATCATTCAGTCTGCCAGGAGTAGCAATAACAATATCCACACCTTTGGTAACCACGTCTATCTGTCCTTTTCGGTCCCCACCACCATATATGCAAATACTGAAAAATAAAATGTTTTACAGAAGCAGTGTATTAAGGTTCAACTAAATTAAACCTTTTTCAAATAAATGCCAGTATGTTGATTAATTTTAAAAAGTATCATCTGGTATTACCAAGAGGAAGGAATACAGTAAATGTGACTGATGGTATCACAGTAAATAATGGACTTAACACTGAATGATACTCCCTCAACAGTTCAGCAACAGCTTTCTGCTGAAATTGCAGTGAAAGTAATCATGAAAGGAAGGAAGATAGCTATTAAGCTACAAGTATGTTTTGGATTGTTATGAAAATATTCACACCAAAAATAGCTTAACATATGAAAGGATGCATGATTTTCTAAACAGTACCATAAAAAATCAGATGTTTTTCTGTTAAAAGAATCAACACACTTGATAAAGTATTAGGCTTACACACAAACTTAACATGCTCTGTAAAACTCCTCAGTATTTTTGGGAAGGAAGTAGAACGTACATTTCAGTATTTGATTACTACAAAGACTAATTCTGAATGCTATACAAAGTTACCAGAGAGCCCTAAAAGTACGTTTCGGAGTACAGTAATGTCTGTTTAATAGCTTAAATGAAGACCTACACTCTCAGCAGGTTTGTGGATGAAGCCAAATTGGGGGAGCAGTTGAGGGCTAGGCTGTTACTCAGAAGGACCACAAAAGGCTAGAGAAATGGGCTGACAGGAATCCCATGAAGTTTAACAAAAGCAAAGATGGGGATGGAATTATCCCATGGCTGAGATTACCCCATGCTAGAAGATGGCTTTGCAGAAGAGACTTGGGTGGGCAAGAAACTGAACATTATTCAGCAGTATAATCCCACAGAAAAGAAAGCCAGCTGTGTACTATGGAGAAGGTAGCCAGCAGGTTTAGAGAACTCATTATTCTCCTTTATTCAGTACTTGTGAGACCACACCTCAAGGACAATATCCAGTTTTTGTACCCCCCACCTCTATTACAAGACAGACATACCCACACTGGAGCAAGTCCAGCAGGCGGCTACCAAGATGGTCAAGAGGATGGAGTGCATAACGTGAGAAGCTGGTAACCAGGCTTGTTCAGCCTGAAGATGAGAAGGCTCAGGGAGATCTTATTGCTGCCTACAGCTACCTAACAGCAACGTGTCAAGAAGACACAGCCAGACTCTTCTCAGCTGTCCGCACAGAAGGACAAGAAGCAACAGACAAAGCTACAATAGAGAGAAGTCCAACTATATAAGAAATAGATTTTAATCGTGAATGTAGTGAAAACAGGCATTCTAAAAACTGGGAAAATACGAACTCTGCATTTACTACCTTCCCCTCCTCTCTTAGCAAATGCAATTATTTTAGAAGGTGATTAAGCCACAAGTGGTAGGAAAAAAATTACTTAACAAGTAAGTGAGAAGTAAGATTACCTTTTAATTCCTTTGTATGCATACTTCGAACACTCTGCCTGTACTTGAAGTGCTAGTTCTCGAGTGGGAGCAAGGACTAACATTCCTGGCCCCCCACGCTGATCTTTGGATCTGCAATAAAGCATCTTTAGAATGTGGGTATATAAGGCTAGGCAAAGTCCATCACATCTGACATCGAATATTTTTATACTGTACTAGACTTTCTCAGTACACTGCTACTAACAGAATTTACGGTGACAAATTGGGCACTTACTCCACCAGGTTTATAATTTTTTTCCAATTTATGATTTATTATCTTCTTTACTAGAAAACCACCACATGGGGGGTGGGGGGGAAGTATCCACATCTAAACAAGTCAGACATGTGAGTAGTCCTTACATTGGTTGTGAAGTCAAGTGAATGAATCCAGGCATTAAGTATGCTAATGTCTTCCCCGTACCAGTCTGTGCTATACCAATAAGATCAATCCCTTGGAGTATGATCGGCCATGCCTGGGACTAACATAAAACAACAAATGTTAAATACACTTTTCTCTTAAGCTTCAGTTAAAGAGTCACCAAAATTAAAGAAGTACCTGAATTGGTGTAGGTTTTTGAAAACCAATTTTTCTTATATTAGCCATAATATCAGGATAATGTTCAAATACATCTTCAAATTTACAAACGGGATTGGGAATGCAGCGCTTTTCACCTTCTTTTAAGTCATCACAGATTATATTATTATTTTCTTTCCTGTATAGAATTAAAGAAATGCAATTGCTTTAAAATCTCATTATCTGAAAAAGTAGAGCTAACACAAAAGACTGTCTTTCTGACTTTTTGTTTTGTTTTGTTTTTAAATTCCTGGAACAACAAAAAACAAGTTCAGGCTCTTGAATGAGACTTGTAACTATTCTTCTAACTTTTAAGAAAGCCTTACTACAGAAACACTTCTCCTGGAGGCATCAATTACCATTCTTTCTTAAGAATGACTAATTTGAAATTATATATGGATATTAACATGAACTGCAGTCCTGTCATATCAGACTTCGATTATACTCTATTACAAACTAAATAACCGTGACAAGTTTTTAAACCTAAAGACAACCTAGAACTCATAGGAATGCATTGGACTTCTTTGTCAGAACCCTACATTCTGACAAAAGCCCTCCCAAAATATTTTCAGAGCAGCTCCCTGGATGCTCTAGAAAATACAAACAGAACAGTTTAGAAAAAAGAACATGGTCAATAAGACAAGCTCCAAAAAAAAAAAAACCAAACCACCAACCCCCAAACAAACAAAACCCAAAACACAACAACGCACACAAAAAGCTACATTAAAAACTGAGGTTCTGAGGCTCCCCCCAGTTAAGAGGTATTAATGTGCGTTAGTAGTTTATCTTCATTCCAGTCCTGTATCTTTGGAAGATTTCATTCAGCAAATAGTTTTACTTCAAGTGGGGTGTGGGCTAGGAAAAGAATGGGTAATTCAACCTTTCCTCATGTTTACTAATAATGTTTGGTAAGGTTTTTTTTTTTTCAATTACTGTCTTTTTTTCCTTAAAGCAGACAGATTAGATGAAAAAGGGAAAACATTCCTTTATCACACAAGTGCTATTCCTCAATGCATGTTCTGAACCTACAGAACAATCTGTTGTTGCTCTTGACTAGCTCTAACGATAACAGGTACATATACTTTAAGGAAACAGGTGTCAATTCCATGCTTCACTCATTGTGGCAAGGTTTCTCTAGTGGGCACGCAAGAGAAAAAACAGACATCATGCAAAAAGAAAAGTAATAAAAGGTAACGCTTCAAGAATGTTCACCAACTTCATTAGAACTACTGAAAAGGGTTGAAACTATTACCAATCACTTGAAACAGATGATCTGCTTTTCTTGCAAAGTAACGATGTAGATTGCTGGATCAAAATGAATGGATGCAGTTAACTGAGGCATGTACTCACCAGGACGTACTTGTAAAGACAAGATAGATAGGCAGATAGGAAGAGAACAGTAATTGATGTTGAAATTTGTTCTGAAGATGGTATTTGACTAAAATACGTGGGGAAAAAATGGCGGCCAAGAAGTATTCAATATGTGAACAATAATATTTGGAAGGACCTAGAAAACATGAACATTCTTTGCACTTCATCAGACAGCAACAGCCAAAAGCCAATGAACTGTCTTGATTTTTTTCCCTTCTGAAAGTCAACTAGATCAAACACTTTTAGAGAAGCAATTAATCCCTAAAGCTAATTTCCAAAGCAACTAATAATACCTCATCTGCTACTTATTGTTTAATTCCTAAGAAAGAGTTCCTAAGAAGACCTAAGTTATTAAAAGACCCTAACATTAATGCTTCTGTCTCAGTGTTTTATCTCCCACTTTCTGGGCTTTATACCTTAATAGTTATTTTTGCCAAGCAGATGATTCCCTACAGAAATGATCTTACCGCCACAATTCCACTTCTTCTTGTGACATAGATGCAGTCCTTGATGATTCTTTATAGAAGTTTTTCTCAATTGGAGGCAAATCTTAAACAATCAGAAAAAGTAAACTTGAGTCAGTAAGAAACGCTACAGATTCAGGGTAAGTCTGCTAAAGCTTAAGATGGAAATCCCAAACCCCAGACTGTGCCTTGTACTAGGAGACTAGTCAAAAGCGGTGGACGACTATTGTTCACGTAAAAGATGAAGGCTGAGACAAAAACTTAAGTATCTGCAAAAGAACCACTTCCCCACATTTCAAGTTCTAAAGTAATTTCTACTAACATATGTAGTATAATATTTAACAATTCTCAGATTTTTGCTGTGGCCATAATCAAAACAACAGCATTTTCAAAGGATGTAGTCAAAATACCAACTGAGTAGTAAGTTTAAGTCTTCACACAGCAACTAGTGTCCTCCATGACTATGCTTCACTGCAAATACTTAACTAATTTGGACACTGAAAGATTCAGTCATCTCAAAGCAAAAATTAAAAACATTTAAGCATTCAACAGATTTATCGTATGAAGACAAGTACCACACAATCAAAATTTGAAAACTAACCTGCCCACTTCATAGCTTCGTATTTAGCTTTGTTTTCTCGAAGAGAGGCCCAGTTAATCACCAATTTCTTTGGGTTATTTTCAGGCTTGATAACGTCCAAGGTTTTTCCTGCGGAGTTAGTACCAAAATGCTGCTGTTTGATGGAACCTGTCAGAGGGTGCGGAAGAACCCCCCTTAAAACAAACACTTTATTTTCTTTTTCTATTGAAAGGCCTCTTATGTGATTTTGAATAGACATGAAGCATTTAAATAGAAAATTCTTTCCTAGGTCTTAGCCTGAAATATCAGTAAAACCTGTACAAATCCAGTTCTGATAAAAAAAGAAGCATTTCAACATCTTTAGCTACTTAAAGAAAGTAATGAGAGGTTCTGAAATGCTGCTCCTCCAGCTATAAATGAGGCTTGTTGTGCGGCAGGCTTTTGAAAAACTTGTGAACCCAGTAGATGATACGCAGACAGAAAGCTTTATTTTTAACAGCTACAAGAGCAAGGCTTACTTCTAAAGCATCCAACATCACCACAATAAAGTCTCAGTGTAGTTACACTCTATACCTCTTTTTTTATGAGGTTAACACTTCTTAAGAAAGGTTTTACACTGAAGATATAAATGGCAACACAATTATGTATTAGTGCAAAAGCAGAAAACATGGGGAAAACACAGTCACGCATACTAAGGAAGAGTTTACTATTTCTAGACTCTTGAAACATACTCGTCCACATTCTGGGGCACTTCTAAAATCAAAACTCATAACTACTCCACTCCTTATTCTAACACTGGAACACAACTCTCAGATCCCTTCTTCCTCATCAGTGCCCCAGATCAACAACTGTGATGGATGTTGTACGTGCTCCCAACGACTTTTTGCACAGGCAAGCAAGACAAATACCAATAACATAAGCAGCATCTCCACATACAATCGTTACTTATATATCCACGTAACAGACAAAATTAACACAATAAAGCCTAGTAAAGTGAGGCATGATGTGCAACATCAAATCTTAAATGCTAACTTCCCATGAAAGTAGTAAGAAGTCAGCATCGTCCATGCTATGATCAGTACGTTTGCTTTATAGACTACATTTATAAAAGCTTATTGAATTTTAATACTGCACAGATACTACATTAAAACTTATACTAGAACGAATACTTGAATTTTGGGGGAATCAGACTGATAATGCAAGAAACCAAGTAGTATAGCATTCTGCATGCATTAAAATTGTTGAAAACACACAGGAACAGATTTTCACAGAAGTTCGGCAGTTTGAGCCGGGGGGAACTGTTCATAGCTGAGAAAGAAGGATGTCTAGATATTTCTGTTTTAAGGAGGTATGTCATTGTCCAAGAACAATATGAAAGTTAACTCACTTTGGTAAAATACTAACAATATAAAAACTCTCCAGCAAAGTACCAAATATATGGAAGGACAATCCACAGTATTTTTTTTTCCAAAACCACATTTCTTACCTTTCTCAGCCCCACCTCTAACATAGTTTTGTCCAGATCTTGTAACAGCATCGTCAATCAACATCTTGGCTTTGTTTTGCACAGCAACACTGCCAAAAATCTTTACTTCAGCTTCATAGGTTCCCTTTATAACCTATGTTCATAAAACCTTACTGAGTTTTTTAATACTGCAAAGACAAGCATTATATAAAAATATATGCTGAAAAGGGTCTTTCATTTTTTCTTCCTGAATTTGAACTTCTCAGGAAAAGGCCCTTTAATTCCCTACCTATAAGAAGGGGGGGGGGAATCAGTAAGCTTTTCCTACTTTTACGTACCAGTCAAGCTACACCCTCAATTCCACTTCCTTTTTACCAATTCTTGTAAAAGAGTAGAATTATTACAGCTATTGCAACACCCTTCAACTTGCTGCAGTAATGCTGGTTTACATGGAAGCAAACCCAAGTATGTTCCCAACAGAGTCCAGGCCTGGATTACACACAGCAGATGGTACCTTTATCCTGGAACCCGAAGAATCCTCAAGTTCTCTTATTTTAGTTCCGCCCCGACCTGTTATAAAGATACACTGCAGGTATTACATTTAGGCCAAACTGTCAAAAACTACACATAGTATCTGTAAGTATTTTGGTTGTGACTAAAACCTAAGACCTCCATATGAGTGCATGCATCCATAAATAAAAGAACTTGTGACACCAAACTATTGGAAAATGCAGGCAACTTTTTTGGCAATTAACCAAACGCAAGGTGCATGGGGGGGCCGGGAAAGCACCTCAGTTGAAGAGATGAAACAGCAAAACCAGATCAAGAGAGAGCCACCCCTCCTCCAGGTGACTAGAGGGACTTCAGCCCACTTACACACTGCTGGCCATGGGAATCAGACATCAACCCAACCACTTTAGGGAGGAAAAGCTCAGCTACCCTGGCGAGTGGGAGAGCTCCACTCTTCAGCCAGTACTCTGCAAAAGCATCCTGCCATCCCCAGGTGAGAAAGCTGTTAAGGGGATCACGAGGGGCTGGGGCTCTTCCATGGCCAGGGAGATGGAAGGCAGCGATGGACCTCCTCGGGGCACAGAGGGAAGGGCAGGGGCCCACACGAACAAACCTCTCCGCAGCCGGGTCCTCTCCCCCTCCCCCACCCGCTTACCTTAGCGGGCCAAGCACCCCGGGGGTGG